AGGGTGTTATTATCAAAACTTAAGTTTACAAATGCTAAACAGCCTTTAATCACTCTTAAAAAATATGTTTATTAATATAAAATGTACATAACAAAATATAGTATAAGGATTGCAGACTAGCATATATGGCATCATATAACAGTTATACAATCTACGTAAAAAAAGGGAATAAACAAAAATAAAATTACTATAAAACCTTAAGTTTAGCAATCTATTAAATGTTTATAGTGTAATCTCGGCACTTGGCACTTGGCACGGCAGCTGGCGTTTCATCATTTAAATTATAACCGTCGCGAATGTACATTTGGAACACTCGTAGGGTTGCAGATGCGTCGTCCTCTTTTAATAAAGTGGGCCCCGGCTACCTCACTTACCAGAGGAAACGCAGAAATACAACACTTACACTTTATGCTGGTGTTCTGTGAGCTCATGGTACTTCCCCGGACGGACCTGCCCGTTCGTGCAACAACGAAAGGCACTTTTTATCGTGGTGGTAGATTTAAGTGGAATTTTACAACATACTGATCTATTAATTATGGTACTGTCGAGAGAATATAATTTTTATTTAAATTTTATTTATTTTATATTATTTAATTGAAAAATTAATGACACATTACTCGTAACTTACAGTCGGTCCTGTATGACTAACGGATATGCCTGAATTATTATTAAGGGTTCGTTGTCCTTCAAAATTGCAAGAATACAGGTAAATGGTAATTGGTTATATTAAAGAAAATTGTATAACCTATTACCGATCCAATTAAATTTATATGTATTGAGTTAATGCATTGATTTTTTAGTGAATTTGTATTTTATTTGTGCAGTAACGATAAATATTAAACCTCATTGATATCTTTACTATAAAAATACTATATTGGAGAGGTATGTACACCCTACATTCATCAAAATATTTACCTAAGAACAAAGTTGATTTACACAGCTATCGATACTCTTAAATATATGGCGCTAATAGCTCAAATCAAGCTTCACATACTAACTAATCAAATTATTATAGCCCACTACTTAATTTACATACTACACAAATTATAACACAACATATACTACACAAAATACAACACAACATTACAATACTAAAAATGGAAATTAAAATACTCGTCATAAACCTAACAGCGACATAGGTCGGTAATAGGAAGAAAATTGCGATTATTGTTCGTATTACCGCCATATTTTCAAATTGAATTTTAAGCAAATTAAAGCTGTTTCTATGAAATGCTGTGCACTATGAAATATGCGCTATCTCAGGACTCCCACGCTGAAATGTGCAAATATTTTTGTGCGGGTTTACACCCCAAAGCAAGTAATAAATATTTACAATACAAATACATCTATATTTTCTCTAATGCAACTATTTGTCTAATTTTAATACAATACTTCAAAATAATAGTTTCATGAAACGGGCGGTAATGGGTGCGGATTCTAAGGGGTCGTTATTAGGTGCGTTTACCTAACTAACGGTTCAGAAAAAAGCCACTGACTTGAAAAGAACTGGCGATAGAAATTCAGTGGGACAATTTTTTTAAACATAATTTGACAAAATTAAGAAACATGTACTTATACAGTATATTCAATTTTATTTGGAAGAGCCTGGAGCGATCAATTCATTTCCAGTGTGTTATCGTTTAAATAATCACTAATACTATTAAAGCCTTTAACACACAAACGTTCCTTTACAAGTTTTTTGATTTTAGCGAATGATTTTTTTGGAAACTTTTCTAGGATTTTGCTGTAAAACTGTATACATTGTCCCATAAAAGGTTTTCTTACTTTACGCAATCTAAATAGGGGTAGAATGAAATGTTTGTACCATAATGCTTTTTATACACTATGTATCAAAACTATCTTATAAATATTATAACCACAGAGTTTCTTATAGAGAACCTATATTTTGGACCGGTCTAAACTAACAAAGCACCAGCACCCAAGGGCTTACGAATGCGTTAAGAGCCTTTGAAAAAGTGGGCCCCGGTTACCTCACTCGCCAGACGGGACGAGAAAGTTAAATACATCCACATCACATCGGTATTTTGTGAGGCCGTGGTAGTTCCCCAGACGCGCCTGCCCATTCATGCCACAACAAAAGCTATTGCGTGGCCCTACCTTAGTCGATATTAATGTTAGTTAATTAAGTTGTAGATAATGATGCTAAGATTTGAAAAGGTTGTTAATTTGGGATTAAGAATTATTTTAAATTGTTTAATGAGGTAAATTTGTTACATTTATGAGTTTGAGTTCGACATATCCATTAGCATGACTCGGTTCTGACTAAGGATCTGTGTCTCATATTATAGTCAACATTGCAACATTGTCAACATTCCATTTACGTGTTCTTCGACCTTTACTCGCTTAGTGATAAATGTTAAAAATCTCTCAGGAACGTGTGAGGATTTTTATACTCAGAAAACTATGTCATGCAACGATATTTATATCTCGGGACAGAGAAGTAATAAACGGCTGCTTTTTTTAGGTGACAAAGTGGCAAACGAGCCGGCGGTTCACCTGATTTTAAGTGATATCCGCCGCCCATGGACATTTGCAACACCCGTTGCAGAAGCGTTGCCACCTTTAAATAAAGTGGGCCCCGGCTACCTTACTCACCAAAGGAAACGCAGAAGTGTACACTTCTACGTTACGCCGGTCTTCTGTGAGGTCGTAGTACTTATCCGGACGGACCTGCCCATTCGTGCAACAGCGAAAACTGTTGCGTGGCCCTACCACGGTAAAGGGTAATTAAATCCATTCAAATCAAATACCTTTATTCAATATAGGAGCATTACACTTTCTTATTGATTGTCAAAACGCTACCACCGTATGTTACTACGGTATGTTAAGTAATCATGGAAAATATCAAAGAAAACAAAATTTTAATATATCGAATACTACTATCGTATAAATACGTTCTTTCCAAATGTATAAAACAACATATTCTAAATTGTTTCTTTTAATGAATTACAATCGTCGAATGATGGTTTAAAATACATACATACAAAAAAATATCGAGCGCAAAAAGCGCGAGATTCCCGTTCGTTTTCCTTCTCGGCTAAAAATACTGCGTTCGGAAAGACAAACGATCAACCGAAACGGGATTTACGGTTTGTAACGCACAAAGCTCTCGTCAAATAAGTCATCCCGTGTACGCTGCAAGCTGGCCACTGCGTAGGCGCAGAAATAGTTCACTGCCCACTTATCCAGGGGCCACGCTTCCGTTAAAGCGCCCGGCACGATTTATCACATGAAAACATCCGCTTCGGTGATTGGAAAAAACGTCGATAAAATGAACTGAGCGCTCGTAATTATTTTTAAACTACACATCGTATCACTCCATGTCGCCATTGTTGTCTAAAATCCACCGCTATGAAAGCGCTGGCAAGCGTTAATGTTGAAAACACTTCTTCGAAACTCTTCACGGGCGACCAACGAAGGCTTATCAACTATTTCGTCACTATTTACATCACAAGCGATGGGAGAGGAGACGAAATCGTTGATAGTAGGTGATAACGTTCAGTGTTAAACTGAACCCCACACGTTTGTGACGATGGACACCCATAGGTAAGTATTTTTGACTCATCATCATCATCATTTCAGCCTGTTTGAGTCCACTGCTGAACATAGGCCTCCCCCACAGACTGCCATGAAGTACGATCCTGAGCCACCTGCATCCATCGACTTCCCGCACATTTGCACAGGTCGTCACTCTCCATCTAGTGGGGGGGGGGTCGTCCGACACTGCGATGGCCAGTACGAGGCTGCCACTCGAGAACCTTTCTTCCCCAACGGTTAGCGGTTCTACGAGCTATATGGCCGACCCATCGCCACTTCAGCTCGCTAATCCTCTGAGCTATATCGGTCTACTGCGGATGCCTTTTTGAATTTTTGACTGCGACTGAATTATCACAAAGCAAGTTGAAAGGTGACCAAGCAAAAGTTCAAGCATGAACAATCCCCTAGCTTCGAACCTTAATGATAATAATGATTGTCACATCCACGATTGTCTTCATATCCAAGTGATGTTTTATAACATCACTTGGATATGAAGACAATCATGGATGTTTTAAATGTTTTTATAAAGAAACGCTGAGTTTTTGTGCGGCTACGCTATCGACCACTAAGCCCAACCAGCAAGGTGAGGCACAAATCAACTAGGATAAACTTTTCCGATTTGACCGCCGGTGTAGTCGCGGTGCATGACCATACTATACATACGGCGACCGCATTAACTATAAATACGTCACAGCTTCCCACACTCCGGGGTCATGGAGCGCACGCCGTCCATCCTCCACTACTACATTGCGTTAACTAAATAATCATCGTCATTGACTGAAACATATTACCCACAGCAATGAAAGGATCTTCATTTAAAAGTGAATAGGTTCTCACCTTACACTGTTATAACGTAATTTCATTCGGAAATCAAAACCTCAAAAGAGAAAGATAAATAAAATCACATTCACATTCAGAAAAATGTCATTTTTAATATTTATAATAAATTTACATTAGTAAAATTAATGACATAATAGCTTTAAGCGATCAACTTGTTTAAAACGCGTGAACTATCATAATTTATCGAATAAATTAAACAAATAAAAACACATGCATTTGTTACGTCGATTAATAATTTAAATTCTCTAATTAGGAAAAGAAAAATCAAGTGCGAACAATGAGCACTTTATTAAGGAACAACCAAAATAGTGAGTGCTGAAAGCTTGAAGCCCAGTGAAATGAAAACGTTTGATACGACAATTTCCTGATGTTAATACATTACATATATTCCATAAAAAGTTTATTGTCAATCAGATTGGAAATAGATAATTTAATAAAATCAGAACGATCAATGTAATTATCGATTTTTTTTTATATTTTCGCCATATTGATGAACGTAATAAAATATTTATTATCATTAGCTTGTTCAGATTGGCAAAAGGTATGCATTGATTTTTTATTGTCTCATTCAGATTTATCATAAATGACCATGTTCATATTCACTTCGCGCCGACGTCTCTGGACGTGACCACGACATTGCTTCTGGTCACGTTGGTGGTGGAGTTCGCCGTCGTGGCCGCGGTGCCGACCTTCCGGACCGTCTTCGTGGTGGTGGTAGTTGCCACGCCGCCGTTCGGCAGATGCTTCACGTCCGTGTCCGTCTGCACGCTCTCCGTGTTGGAGTGTTTCTTGTCGAAGGCGGTGCTGTTGCTCGCCAGGCTGTCGGTCACGCGCGTGTATCCCTCCCCCTCTGTCACCTCTCTGTTCCCCTTGACCACGCTCGAGCCGCCCCTCTCCCCGGCCTCGTGCAGACGCGCCACCCCGCCGTCTATCGCGACGGTCTCCCGCCTCTCGTATTTGTCCACGGCCCCGTTGTCGTCTATGGTGTAGGAGCCGCGGCGGATCTGCTTCTCCGGCACCCACACAATCTCCTGGGTCAGTGTCTCCTGGACCGGCTCGGGGGTGGCGGTGGCGCTTCGCAGGTCGCTCGGCGATCGCACGTGCGTCAGGTGGGTGCGGTTCGTCGTTTCGTTCGTTTCGTCGGTGAATAGTTGCCTCGACACGTTGTTCGTCAGAATTTCGTTGGTCTCGATGTTGCCGTTGTGAACCGCTTGAGTGTCCTGCCGTCTCGCCGGTGCGGCGTATCTCTGTGTGTCCTTAACGACGGGTGTCCTGGTGTCCCTTTCGACGGTCTGTTGCTGCTGAATCGGCTTGAGTTGACCCAGCAACGGGGAATGCTTGATCCCGAACGTTATCTGCGGTGGTTTGCTAAGTTGCACCTGAAAACAATTGAGGCGCTGATTTGAGGGGAATACGTTCTAAGAGTTATGCCTCGGTGGCGCAGTCGCTAGACTATAGTCGCTAGGCTTCGGTCCGGAGGCCGTGGGTTCAATTCCCACACGGGACAAGCACTTGTGTGCCGCATAAATAATTTTTCCTGTTCTGTTATTCTGTTATACACACATAAAAAATCTTCTCACCAATTTTATATTGTCTGTATAAAAGATCGGGGTTCATATGATACAGACAGGTGCTGTTAATAGTGAGCCTATACATACATATACATAGCATACACGACTGAGTTTTGGCAATGTGATAGAACCGAAGAAAAAAAACGAAGAATCGAGTCGAATCTAATTTTAAGTCGGCTACTTTATTCGAGCGAGTACTACCAACAACTTGCTCTCAAACAACAAAGCTTAACTGGAAGTAAATGCTATTTAGAATAAATTCGGCTTTGGTCTAAACTTTTGGTGCAATAAAGAATTTACAATCAATCAATCATTATTCGAATCCACCAATCTATTCACAGGAGATCCCATTTACCTTTTCGGGGGAGTAGGTGCCAGGCGCTGGTACTCTAGAGCGATCATCGACAGGAACCTTGTGGCGTCCGGAAAACGTGTACACGGGAGTCTCCAAAACGGATGGAATTCGGTACGTGTTAGGAGCTGCAAAGATTATTAATACAGGTCAAATAGAATAATTAATATGGTTTATGGAATCTTGTGCAAAAAATTATTAAGTTGATGGAATAAAACCCTCTCTAAAGAAACAGCTGCTGTGAGGAAATTAGGAAATAGGAAAATTATGTTTGAAATTGACAGAATTGCAGAATTTTTTTATTCTGCAGGATTTTATACAGCTCATTGCACCGACGAAGAATCAAAACATTATGGGAACATACTTATAAGTTAATTCAGTTATTACTAACCAAACCAAAAGTTAGCGCTAATTGAGTATCTCTGAATACGACCGTGTCTTAACTCTCTAATCATAATCTAAAGTTTGGCAGAGTACTTAACTATAATGTAAACGCGACAACTGGTTAGTGTGAGACCGGTTTTTGACTAAAACAAAATCGATAAACAAGAATTTATGGGCCACAAGGAACTGACGTCAACATTGCTTTGTGAGATTGGATAAAAACCGTCATAATATAAGCTATACGCAAATTAATCAACATCCTTTTTGTGTAATTGTATCTAGTCACTAAATAAATACCTTGTTATACAAGGGTTATATATAGGTTTTATATTAGGTAAATAATAATTATACTTTCATTTTAATAAATATATATATATATATATATATATATATATATATATATAATATATATATATATATAAACCATACCGTGCTGTGATAGCTCACTGTCTTACTCGAGCAATCTGAGCTCGATCCCCGGTGCCGACACCAATGAAATTGTTAATTTTAAGTGTTGGCTTATCACGTGCTCAGCGGTAAAGGTAAACATAGTGAGGAAACCTGCATATTTAACTGTGGTAGGGCCACGCAGCAGCCTCGGCTGTTGCACGAATGGGAAGGCCCGTCCGGATTAGTACCACGACCTCACAGAAGACCAGCGTAAAGTGGAAGTATGACAAATACTTTCGCGTTTCGTTTGGTGAGTGAGGTAGCCGGAGCCCAATTTTCAAAAGGTTTTCAACGCATCTGTAACCCTCGGGTGTGGCAGATGTCCATGGGCGGCGATATTCACTTAACATCAGGTGAACCGTCTGCTCGTTTGACAACTTTTCGCATAAAATAAATAAATAAAAAATATATTTTCGAAATAATAACAAAAAAAATTATTTCCAAAACATGTGAAGTTCGCCAATCGGCAGTGGAGTCGCCTGGTGAACTATGCTCTGATACCCTCTGTACAGAGGAGGCCTTTGCCAACAATGGGACATTTATGGGACATTTACTTTACTTTTTTTATAAGCACACAGACACAAAGAAAACACTATGTTCATCACACAATATTTTTCCAGTAGTGGTGTTCCAAACTACACCAAACTAAATCTGGCGCAAAAGACAGATTCACTATCCACTACGCCAGTTGACTTGTCAAAAAACATATTTGCTCTTACCAGGCGAGTCGGCGTATTTGTCCGTCTGAATTTTTATGCCAAATGTGTATTGCGGCGAATAAGTTAAAACGAATTTGTAGCCCTTCTCTGGATTGTAGGAGCCAGGTGCGGGGACTTTTAGACGTTCGTCTATTGGCTCCTTATGCCTGCCGGATATCGTGTAGAGGGGCGTTTTGACGGGCGTGGGGATGTTGTAAGAATTCGGCGCTAAAATTAAAGAAAATAGTTGATAAATAAAATAAATAAAATAAAGAACAGGGACAGTATAAAAATATGAATCAATTAAATGGTTATAAAGTGAAAAAACGTAAACTTAAAATTGACGCAAACTATATAGATAAAGAATGATTGATACCTTTACTAACCGAAATGAGCTTTTCAAAAGTTTAAATGATTTTTGTTGTAGAAATAAAAATAATATTACAATAACCACTAACTTTATTCATCTTAAGCATACATGTTACATTTGAAATTTACTTACCAGGTGTATCGAGAACTTTCATCGTGTCCGATTTAATCCTAAACGTATATTGCGGTGAGCTGTGCATCAAAACCTTGTCGGCTTTGTCTGGATTGTAAGAGTTGGGGGCCGGAACGTTGTCAGGCTTGTGAGGATTTGTCTTAATTCTAAATGAATAACGTGGAGCGTTATCCAAAAGAATTTTGTCTGCTCTATCTGGATTGTATACGTTCGGCGCCGGCGTTTCGTTGGTCATCTTATTCTCGATCCTCGGACGGAATGTGTATGACGGGGAGCTGTCGTGGAGCATTTTGTCCGCTCTCTCCGGACTGTAAGCGTTCGGAGCTGGATTGGTCGAGGGCTTGTCCGCCGGGGGTTTTGTACCAAACGAATATTTAGGCACACCGTCCAATATGTGCACGTACTTGCTCGGATCGTATGAATTCGGCGCTGGCGTGTCCATAGACTTGGGAAGATTGTGCTTGCGTCTAAACGTGTATGCGGGAGAATGCTCTGATGTTAAATTGGTGGCCTTTTCTGGCGAGTAGCTGTTTGGAGCTGGTGTATCGATGATTTTTTGTGGATGCCCCTTTCCAGAAATTGTGTATTTTGGAGTGCTGGTTGGTAGATTCGGATCATAGCTGTTGGGTCCCGGTGTGTCTGATGGTTTATCGTCTGTGCCCCTACCGGACATCGTATAACTAGGAGAGTTGCTGGCAATATGAGGGTCATAGCTGCATGGACCGGGTGTTTCTACCGGTTTACCATCAGGCGTGCGTCCAGATAACGTGTATTTCGGCGTATTATCAAGCAAAAGGGGATTATACGCATTAGGTGCTGGAACATCAGATGGCTTTGGCGATGCGCCTCTTCCTGATATAGTATATTTCGGAGCCCCATCTAACAAATGAGGGTTATAAGCATTTGGTCCAGGAGTATCAAGTGGTTTGGAATCGGGCCCTTTGCCATAAAGGCTAAACTTTGGGGTCCCATCGAGGTAATGAGGGTCATATACGTTCGGTGCTGGGGTATCGCTTGGTTTTTCAGAAGAGTTCCTCGGCCTAAAGGTATAAGCCGGCGACGATTCATAAAGAAGTCTATCTACCTTATCCAAGCTATAGGTATTTGGTGCAGGTACATCATCAAATTTAGGATCGTGTCCTTTTCCACCCATTGTAAATTTTGGTGAGCTGTGATACATATTTGCAGATTTCTCGGGCTCGTACGCATTAGGCGCAGGTACATTATCAGTCTTCATTACTTGATCTTTCATTCTGAATGAATATGATGGCGATGACTCGTGTAAAAGCTTGTCAGCTTTATCAGGACAATATACATTCGGCCCGGGAGTATCGTCGACTTTGCTGGTTTGTCCTTTGCCGGATATTGTGAACTTTGGCGCGCTGTCCAGCATGTGCAACGATCTCTCCGGTGCATACGCGTTAGGCGCTGGTGATTCGCTTCTTAAAACACTCTGCTCTTTAATCCTGAAGCTGTAAGCGGGCGACGCTTCGTGCAACACCTTGTCTGCTTTCTCTGGGTTGTAAGTGTTCGGCGCTGGCGTGTCGATAACTTTCGAGCACTCCGTTTTGCCTGACATGCTGAACTTTGGTCCGCCGTTGAGCATGTGGATAGACCTCTCGGGGGCATAGACGTTGGGCGCGGGGGTTTGCTCGATCTTTTCGATGACCTCCTTTGAGCGCATCGTGTACGACGGCGAACTCTCGTGTAATATCTTGTCGGCCTTTTGGGGGTTGTACGAATTGGGTGCTGGGGTCACCTCGTGTTTCTCGGCGGCCCCTTTCCCCGCTAGCGTGTACTTGGGTCCGCTCTTCAGCGCGTTAAGCGACTTCTCCGGTGAATAAACGTTTGGCGCTGGGGCGTTGTGAACTTTGACAATATCAGTCTTGGTCCTGAATGAGAAAGCTGGCGATTTTTCTCTTAATATCCTGTCAGCCTTCTCCGGGTTGTACGCGTTTGGAGCTGGGACACGTTCTATTTTCTCGATTTTCATTCTGCTAGATAGACTGTACTTTGGAGATTTTTCACGCAGAATCGCATCAGCCTGGAACATAAATATATATAAAAACAAAAGCACTCTATGCGTACTAAAAATGGAATAAACATTTAGTAAACAAGAAAGTTGATTAATTACAATCAGATATTAACATTCATTTCATATTCATATAATTCCATGATTAAGACAAATTTTGCTTATTTTATTAATTACATATTTATAAGAAGAATTTTAGCAAATTCTAAATTAGACATTCAATAAGAAAGATTGACAGCACATAAATTGTGCACCAAAATCGGATTAACAAATATATAATCAATGGTGTATTAGTAACTATACCATACCTTTTCAAACAAGCAGCATGTAGGGTTGGTTAATAAGCTGAATATTATGATATTTTCGATGCTTCGCACAGTTGCAACGGCTGATTTAGTTTACTACCAAGAAATAGGCATTAATAAAGCGTTGTGAAGGGTGTTTATTAAAAATTATTTTTTATATTAAAATGTTAATTACAGACAGCTTTAGATGGTGGGGATTTCTTCCGGAGCGGGATGGTACAAAGCTTGTCCGGCGTACTGCGAATGGCGTATGCCGAACGTATGCGATGGCGCCCACGGGAGGTTCACGCAGACCTGCCATACAGCCATGCCCCAAGGTTAGTGATGGTAATGATTACGGTAAGCAAAAAATAAGCAGGGTCCTCAAATAACAGAGAACATCTCATCGTTTAGCGATTTCAACATTCGCTAAGCCCCTCACTATTATAATTCAAACCTGTAATGCTTTCAGAGTGAAATAACAGCCTTCTATTTTTTATTTTAGTGTCACTGCATTAGATAACTGCGCTTAGAACGCGCTATAGATTGGCATATTTTATATGTCATTAACAATTTGCAGGCTAAGGACGTTTTACTTAATCGGTTGCACTTAAATGCTAGCCAACCAAACACGTGGTTAGCGTTTAAAACTGCAAGCAAGTAAACGTTGGCGCCAGCGCATGAATAATAACTGAGTCGCTCGACTGCATTGATATTAAATTCAAGGACTTAAACCCAAAGCTACTCAGCTTCAGCAAAAATTATCGTCAAGGCAACTGCCAAAGAAGACGCAACACCAATCTTTTATTGGTGTGATAATTATAGAGTCAATAATTGTATCAACACATTCGGTACTCAGTTTTACGAATTGATATTATAACGAAAGCTTATAACTGTTAAACTTATCTTAACTGAGTTATCTAAGCCAATTACAAATTACGATTTATTTTAGAAAGATAAGTGGTTAAAATAGTAATTTTTCTAAATAGTATAGCAATTGTTAGTTAACATTTTATCGCAAACTACTGCAAAGTTTTAAAATTTTTACCATGTTATAAAAACATTATATTAGTTATAAATACCATCGCTGTCCACCACAAATTCCAAATTTCCCCTTTTTTCTACCAAAAAATAAACATTTAAAATATTTCAAAAAAATCATTACCAAATGATAATATATGACGGACAATGTTAATGTCCTCAATCGCTCCAAAAGAATTTGATGTCAAAAGTGAGAGTACAAAGAATCATCTTCTAAATAATCATCTTTTAAATATAAATCGTGCCAAGTACATGCCTATTTGGTTTCATGCGTTAGTCATATATTCTTTTAACTGTTAACGTAACGGCTTTTATTAAAGTAAATAAATATTAATTTGTTCATTCATTCATTCGTTCACTCATTCGTTTATTCATTCATATTCATTCACCTTTTCGGGACAGTAGACCCCTGGGCCGGGAACAGTAGCTGACGGGGGCTTCACTTCCCTCCTTGGTGCCATCGTGTACGCCGGTGGTCTCTTCGTGAGCGCCGATGCGGCCTTGTCTGTGGTGTAAGTACCAGGTCCTGGTATCGGCGATTTGCTCTCGAACGCTTTGCCACGTCCAGTTATACTGAAGGCTGGGGCCGCGCGTTTACTACCCTCTTTAGCTTCTCCGAGCACCGGTGGCATGGAGTATATGTTTGGCGCTGAAAATTTTAAATAAATGATGATAATAGAGAGTTTTTGTTGTTATTGCGAGGATCGATTGGTTAAAACGATCGTTTAAAAAACAAAAAACAGACCAGAATCAACATATACTTCGTTCTAATACGACTGATAATAAAATCCAAATAAAAAATAATCGCCTAAATATTCGAGAATCCATGTTCCAATGTTCCAACCCCAAAGCCCAATTATGGTAATGTCAGACACGATGTAGTTAACAAATTGTCAATTAGGCTGAAAGGGAAATTAGAATATTATTCTATCGTAGCGCTCCTACCCCCATTCATAGTTGAGCCATTCTGACGTCTGAATAGATGACACAATTACCGAATGCTTAGTATAAATTATAAGAAACAGCCATTTGTTAAGAAATGGGTAAAAATGTACACAAATTATGTTCCGACATAACTATTATTCATTATATTCTAAATAAAATATGTATATTTTTAAACGACGAAAATCACCAAGATTGTAATTAAACGTAATTGAACAGTGGTTTCATCATATTTTATTAGTATAATATAAAATGAGTAAACAACAACCAACAAGTACTTATAAAGCCATAATATTCTATGACGATAATATGAAAAGGAAAACGTTGCTATTAGGAACATCAATGTTTATTATATACAATTGAGTTTAAGCTTTCAATCAACCGTGTGGATGATTACTATTTCCTAAATAAGTTTAAACTAAATACGAACAAAAAAAAACAATGACAGAAACGACAGCGGTGACAGTAAACAGACAATAAAAATGAACGGAATGAGACAGATTTTAACAACAAACAATAAGAACTATGCGACAAAAAAAAAAACAAACAGAATACAGATGAATGAAAAGTTCGAGATGATTCAACGAAACAAGATGCAAACTAAGCGATGCATGTGAAGCTTTCAATCAAACATGGATGCAAAGATTGAGAAATTTCAACAAGCTAGTCTGCAAACTAAGTGATTCAAACAAAGCGAATATAGAATGAAACAAAGATGAAACTATCGCGATGTATCCACGGTCTCGACTGCAAGGCAAGCGAGGAATGACACAAATTCAGATGGATGAGCTTCGCTAGAAACTGCTGAGGCGTTGAACCTGGCGTCTGGCTCCCGGGCTGCGGTGGATTGACACGTAGGCCGATGGAGAATGCCGGCGCGTGGTCGAGCACCGCCCTAGCGGCCTTGCTGGGCTCATAGTCGCAGGGCGCGGGGGTGAGCGCGACGCGGGGGTGAGGCCAGCGGCCGTGCAACGACGCCGCAGGCCCAGTGGCCCGCCCTGCATCCCCGTGTCTATTATGTATCGACGCTGAGTAGTACCTTAGGAGTCAAATGACAGCTAACCTACACCAAGGTGGTTCCTTGCCTCCCCACTTCAATCCGCTCCGGCCCATACCTTTGTTGTTCTTGGCAAACTCTTCCACTATATACTGACTTTAAAAAATAATTATATCTTTCGGTTTACATCACGGTATTGGTGTGAACCAAAAGCAATGATTATACCAGCAGGCAATGCCGCAGTATGTCCAAGAAAAAGATCCCACAGGTTCAAAACGAGAGGCAGAAGTATTATACACGTTTAATTGAACCTGTTTATCCTCAAACGGGCAACGTTTGGGGATAAACTTACCCCCGTTACAATAACCCCGTACGACAAACTGTGCACTGATGGAATCTTTACTAACCATGTTTTATCTCTGCGACGCTTCTATAATAACCCATGTTAATGCCATGACAACCATTATTAAAAATGTAGTTATTTAAAAATTTATTAATCAAGCTAATAATTCAAACATATATTATGATTTGGTACGCTAACATGTACTGAATGTACCGAAATAAATGCGCAGTACCAGTTTGTAAACAAACTGATACTCTTTCGGCTGGAGTGCCAACGCATCGATGTGCGAAGCTATATGCCACCATATGCCGCATCGACATCGTAAAAGACCTTGGAATTTTTTTTGCAATTGTATATACATATGAGTATAGTAATTAATGCAAGAGATAATTAAACAGTTTTGTTACGCTTAAACATTGAAATGTTATGGGCCATGGTAGGATGGCATTACGTCATTTTTAATTTTAGTTATGATTCGTGTTTTCAATAGTGACCATATGTTTTTATTTTTGTTACGCTAAAAGTATCTTTTTGACATTGTGGATTGATAAGAGCAAGCTAATATTATTTTAAAAAACTTGTAATACTTCGAAGTGAGTTCGTTGGGTAGTGTGCGACACTATTGAATAAATGAATATTCCTAGCCCATAAATCTCGCACAAGCGGCAAAACATTTTGTGTCCTAGAACGGAATCGGCTTACTTATTCGCAAGCACTACAGGTTTAGAAAATATCATAAAATCCGTAAAGATCACACAAACATTCCTACATTCGAAAGCGTTCGCAACAACCAATATAAAAACCATAAACAAATAGCTATTGAATTTCTTTACCCGACTACTTAAATTGAACATAACACTTGCACCAAGAATAACTCAACGTTTTGCGAGTTGAAAATATAATCAAAAAAAGTCACTTCTACATCTATTTCAACAGAATCAAAGCCATAACAAAAATGCAGCACTCACAGAAATACAACAAAACAATTTACCACTAACTGAAAATCTAGTATTACTTTTGAAAGTGCGTTTCGAAATATCGAAACTCATTAAACATTGCAGACAAGCGTACCTTTACTGTGATAATCACTCTCTCGAACGCGAAAACAAACTGAGCTGTTTTGCTGCGACGCACAAACTCGACGCGTCAACAATGCGACGATGCAGCTAATTGGAAGTGGAGGAACGACTGGACCCGCACCGTTCTCCCCCCAGGGTCCCTCCGACCACTCGCCTACGCCGCACTAAGCTGACTCACCGACTCACCTTCGCGCTTACGGACTTATTTGGCGACGCGCGAACGGCCAGACGAACCCACCGCCAATGCCGCCGCTTCAGCTCGCCCAAGCAATTGTGATACTAGCATCGCCCGCGGCTCTACCTACGTGGTTCCTCTAGATGTAGAATGGGCCGAAACTTACGGAATAACCCCACTTTGGACACAGCCCTATAAGCTATTTCAATAACATTCGGTCAACCTTACAGCCGTTGTTTCGTGAGGAGACAAACATACAAAATACGTTTTTGGAATATTAGCGCGATTCAAATTGGGGTTAATAATTTCATTCAGGAACGTCGACTACTCAACTTGGCTCGCACACGATGCACTGCACGACCAATCAAGGTGGGCTTTTCGACAAGCGATCCGCGATATCTCCATATATGTCCTGTGTCTTATAATAAATACAGTACCCGGAACTATGACACAAATTCCGGCTTTCCTTTCCATAGGCTTGACTCGAAACGTTCTATGTTCTAAATTTGCCCATTATTGAACAAAAAAAAACTATTTGCGCACCAATAACATTGACGTTTTATCGATAAATGTTATAACATCAGTTAATACAAGATTAAGGAAATAGCGTACCGTCCTATAAAAGGAAATTTAGAATGTATGCCGTGTTCGTAAATGCAAAGGGTCGTCAACGGAACTGATTATACAGTTTTAATGGCTTCGATTCAATTCGCCGATCAGACATTAAACGCGCTGCCGCGCACAGGAAGATATGTAAAATACGGGAGAAGACATCGTTAATGCAAATTACATGACAACTGATCAAATCATGACCCATTTCAAAGCGTAACTCACCGACAACAGCGGACATTAAACCATATTGTGACGTCGCTCAGAAGAGCGTAACTCTTTATGGTTTCATATAGAACTAGCAACCCATCCCGACGTTGCACGGGTACAATGTAGATACCGAATTTCTCGGCTTTTCTCTACTATAATATGCATGCTAATACGTATATAAATGTCCCGTTTGAATCACTATCTTTTGCTGAAAACCGCATTTAAATCCGTTGAATACTTTAAAAGACCGAAAATAACGTTATTAATATTGATATTATAATTTAATTGATCGTATATATATATTGTATATTAACTAAACACCAAATATAAGTATAAGAAATTTTACTCATTAACTTTTAATTTATTATGGATAACGGTCCAACCGTAACTCAGTATCTAAACCCTATTAACTGTATCCGTAAGGCCCACCTTATTTCTTTTTAATGAAACCAGTAACGTTTCTAAGATGTTATTAACACAAGTGCAGCTTCTATCGACACATTTACTAGCTGACTAGTTTTTATTTATTTCTCGTTATGTATTCGTTAACAAAAACATATTCATAAAAACAGACTAGGAAATATTCTAGTTTATCCCAATAATTGTAACAATTTCCACAGCAATTACTAAAAAATGTATATAAATCAATAACAATACTTGTTATTAGTTATGTCGTTATATTTCTGTTAATTATTTCGTAACACTTCTCGCAATTATGTCTTGCCACTACAGGACCACTGCTACTTAGGCTCGAACGACATTTAAGGAAAAAACCACATCGTTGATGCAAGCTATGCAGCGGTGTGGTCTATGTTAAGATTTTAAACTGGTCTTCGGTTGCTTTTTTCTCAATTTAGGGCGCGTCAAATTAATGAATTTTGCAATGTGCAATTATGCTGCAGTTGCAAATCGAATACTGGATCATAGTACAGCAATTGAGGCAACCAGTGCGACATCTATGAGACATATTATACATAACCTATGCGCTGTGTAGTTCAATAAAACTTCCAGCCAAAATACAAATTATAATAAAAGCTTGTTCGATCAACATAGACGACTTATTACCGTTTATTTTTATTTACCCCCAATATTTGACTTGAAAATTAAATGATACTGAGTGTGGCTCATTACCAGAAACATTATTAAAAATAAAATATAATTTATTTAAACTTAAATCCTTCGGAATAATTTTCAATACGCTGTCTAATCTAATATCTTAACTTCTACTTTATTAAACTCTAACAAGGACTGCCTACGTGATCAATGACAACATAAATCCTACACAGGTCGGTCTAGATCTAGAATCACGGGCACTCGGAGTCTCGTATATAATGTCTTTTAACACTTAAGAAAGTACGAAGTAACTTATGTAAACTGATACCTTGAGGAAAGAAGTAGATAATTAATTTATAACGGATAAAACGAGAACATTTAACGAGAGTTAAAAAACAACACGTGCGTATAAAAGCTTTGAACTAATCTTCCATTAGATGAAATTGCCGTGGGTAGCTTTTCAACTGACCGCCGCATAAATTACAATTATCTGGTTCAAGACAATTTCCAGATGCGGACGAATCAAACGATTTCTAAACGTCTCCGCGTCGCCCGTTTAGTTGCGCTCCGGTGAGCGGCAGACTAGATTAGACCCCAATTGTAAACACTAAAAATACATACGTACGACATAAGTATATACCGTACTTTTAAACACACACCACCAACTCAGCTAAGTATTGACAGTCGTCATATAATTTTGCTAAGAATTTTGAATTTGATTAACAAAAGCAAACTATCAATTTCCTCAAAATATTATAACAAAATGATTAATAATTTAAAGAAAAGCGACTAAATAACCTAGCAAATTCGATTCTGTTGATGATGATGAATGATGATGCTCCTGTGACTTCTAAGCAACCGTTTTACGTTCATATTCCAATGTGTGATTATATTATAAAAAGGTTATGCTTCCTGACTTCATTATGATGCGGAATAAGCGACAACTACAGAAATAAGCAAAACAACGCCTGTAGGTCACCTAGTTAAACAAAAACAAGAATGTATGTATTATATTAGCTGTAAACTATAACCCAAAAACTATAAAATGGAAATAGTCAACAATTTTCAATATAACTTGCTTATCAATTTCTCAAACTTGAATAGTCGACTCTTTTTTTTTCTGTAGAGATAAAACTGCACCGTTGTCATATTTTGAATTAACATGCTTTGTTATGTCTAGATAACGGAATTCAAAATTGAGCATGTTTACAAACCATGAATATATCTTTCGTGATATTATTGTTACTTTTTATATGGTATTTAAGTATGAAATATGAATATTATACATTTTTGCAGCAACCACTATTTACTTATCTAAAATCCATAATACCCTGTGCTTGTAAAAATAAAGCACAGTTTCAATCTGCACCTTTCAAATGGTACAATTTTAATTGCAAACGCTATACACAAAAAACAAATGTTAGAAGACTACATCTATCTATAAATAATTTTTGGGTTCGCGCATGTTTATATAAAGATTTAACGTCAAGGCTTAATGCAATAGGTTATGTTTTTTTTAAGTTTATGAAGGTGGCAAACTGGCGGTTCACCTGATGTTAATAGATAACCACTGCACATAGACATCTGCAACACATGTAGGGCTGTAGATGCGTTGCCACCTTTTAATAAGGTCGGCCCATCACTCACCAAATGAAACGCAAAACTGTAACCTTCTACTTCACACTGACCTTCTCTGAGTTCTTGGTACGAGTACATCCCCGGACGAGCCTGCCCATTTGTGCAAAAGCAAATACTGCAGCTACCCAACCCCACCCACAACCAAGTCATATGTTTCTGTTAGCAGCTCCTTGATTCAAAAACCATTAGTTCCTTAAACGTAGATACATAAAGTCATACCCTTGGCGGTCATCCCCTCGGTGTTGTAGGTGGCGGGACCTGGTCCAGCGTTGGACTTGCCGGAGGGATCCAACTTCTGGCCAAAGGTGAAAGCGGGCGCTCTCGGTTTTCGCGATTCGGGCGGCGGTTTACCTGATGAGGAACACGTACTTAGCTAATTAAATCCCTTTTATTAATACGCGAAAGCGTGTTTGTTTGGCTTATAAGTTTTCAACGATAACGAAGCAATTAATACAAATGACTGAAATGTTCTGCACTTGCATTTTATCTTGGAAAAATGCACAGCACCACATTAGATCTGGAGATCTAACAAAATGGTGAATGGTGGAATGGTGGTCCAGGCCACAAATATGACCTAGAAACACGTTGGAACATATTTTTACGTCATATTTGTAAACCCACAGTCATTTTACCTCGATACACCTAACCTTTAAATGCAGTTATATTGACACTCGCAAGCATGGATGCTCAGCTATCCTGCTAAACTAGCTAGGGCAATGTAATGTTAAACAAACGCATGTTGAATTTTCATATACACATGCCGTTTTATATTTATATAAGTTCTCACTACATCCCAAGTCGATCGTTAGCCTTTGGCCATTAGGCCGCAACAAAGGTTATTAAGCGATTTCAGGGATTTAGCGGCACGCAGGTTAATTATACGATGAAAACTTCGTACGTAGCGGTAGTACTTCCATCAGAAACTTTGATTTGTTGACAAAGACCGTTTTCGGATTTTTCAGATTCACTCACACAAATAAAATAGTCGCGGCTTTTAATATCAAGTCAAGCTATCAGAAAACAGCTTTAGTTGCTCCCCTTTAAAGTGCGTCGCGTTGAACAAATAAAATGAATTGCTATTACCGATAATCATACGCCGAGGACGCTGTTCGAAATGAGGCAAGGTCAATATCGGCCCACGACACCAGATGGCGACGAAATACCGAATTTATCGAAACGAAAGCAGACAAATGCCGAATTTGTCGAAACAACAACACCGTAACGACGCGGCGCGGGGCTATTTCGAAAAATAAAGCAACGAGACAATCTCAATGGAACACATGCGAGAACGGCGAGATTAAACTGTGTTGAGACGGGTGAATAAACGACTTGCGCCGTACACAGGCGCCTCGCGAACGACTTTAGAGCAGTGATGTCACTCAGTGCGAGCACGGGCAAGGCCGGTGTTTGCGGTGCGCGCGATAATCTCGCAACCTCCGGGTGATGTCAGCGCGGGAGTTTGCGAACGATCGGTTCCGATACAACGGCGAATGGGGCACCAATTATAATTTTGCATATGAATATGAGCGTACACACAGTGGAACGTTGTATAAAAGGATAGGGTTGCCACTTGACGTTCAAAATACTTTTGGTGTTTTATTTTTTTGTAGCCGTGACAGCTCGCGGGATTATCCCGTTTGCGAACGATCGGTTCCGATACAACGGCGAATGGGGCACCAATTATAATTTTGCATATGAATATGAGCGTACACACAGTGGAACGTTGTATAAAAATATGATAGGGTTGCCACTTGACGTTCAAAATACTTTTGGTGTTTTATTTTTTTGTAGCCGTGACAGCTCAGTCCGTACGCTCGCTTTTAGTTCAATATACTCGAGCAACCTGAGTTCGATCCCCGGTGCCGGCACCAATGAAGTTTTTAACTTTAAGTGTTGACTTATCCGCTCCGCGGTGAAGGAAAACATCGTGAGGAAACCTGCATATTTTCGAAATAATAACAAAAAAAAAAATATATATATATTTCGAAAATATGTGAAGTCCGCCAATCCGCAGTGGGGCCGCGTGGTGGACTATGCCCTGATACCCTCTATATAGAGGAGGCCTTTGCCCAGCAGTGGGACATGTATAAAATAAACCGACAAAAGGGAATACCCGTCGCATATTTCAACCAATGTATGTTTCCCTGAAATGAATTGTGAAATATCCTTTAAAGTAACCAACGAAATTAACACATTTTATAACACGATTTGTTTTTTTCTCTGCGTATTTACAGTTAAATATTGGGATGACCAATATTGATTTATTAGATGGAGCCACTTGGTAGAGTGGTCCGATTGAGTTTGTCTATTTAACATTTAAACTAACTTTTATATTTGTCAACTTTCAGAACATACCATACTAGTATAACAATGTGACGTACTTCTTATAAATTATAACAACCATAATATAATACATAAGAAATCTATCGCTTGGTACCAGGTTGTTTTCAGACGATAAATCTTTTTTCGTGATCGTTTCACTACCGGGCCCATGGACATCTGCAGCAAATGCTGTATTATACATTAGTTGATAGTTTTTAAAGAATGGGCCCCGGTTAGTTCACTCACTTCACGCCAATCTTCTGTGACCACTATGGTACTAGTGGTAATAAGCCAGTTTTGGGGTGATAGTAGATGTCCCCACGACAGTTATAAATAACTTTTATCATTACACTAGTCAGCTAAGCTATCTTTCGGAACAAAAGATTTTACTAGCAACACTTCTTCCCCCCTTTTATGAAAATCTCTAGACCGAAACGACAATGTATCCCACTGGAGCGGCCAGAGACACAACAATAGAACGACACAATGTTGTTCTCATCAACACAGCGTTTATTTTTTTACCTTAATTTTTACAAAGCTAAAACATGGTATTATACAACTTACTAATACTCAAAACAGATTGCAGGGCCTTGATAATTTCTTTGTTTATTTAGCAACTTCTCTGTTTCGTGAGAGCACAAACAATTACAGGGCAAACATAGAAATAACCTATTCTGTTCATGATATTTATTAAATATTAATTACAATATTATAATGTGTATTGTCACAATGTTTAATGTTATCGTGATATGATAGGTTTGTTAAATATTCTATTCTTTTTACATATGTAAATCCGTTACTTGTCACTTTTACACTAACCTTCCTCAATAATCTCCCTAGTTCTTTCAAAACAAAACCCTGTTCCATCCAACTCGTTAGCTATGTCCACTACAGATTTGATTAAAATTCAGTTGTTGACACACAAACACAACGTTCTGCTTTTTACCCGAATATGGTGAAGCGATAAAAGAAGTCCCCCTGTTATCTGTTTGACCTGCATGCATGTCTATTCCGACGTTCGTTACTATATATAAGCGACTGAGCCGATTTTGATGAATATGTTATTATATTCGTGTTTATCGCAAGTGTCACTGTGTATATTAAAATTTGAAAAATCATAATGGCGGATTTTTGTCGCCAAAATGCGTTTTCGAAATTTTTCACAGCCGAGATTTTCATTTTTTCCCTGGGTATACTGAAACAAAAAATCCAAATGGCGAATTTTTGGCGCCATAAAGCATTTTTGGAACTGCTTTCGTACCACAGTCGAGTTTTTCTATGTCTTCCATTGTGCAACATGACAGTAACCCGTTACTGTCATGTTGTACAACGCAGTCAACAGATGGCGCTTTACCTATCAGCGACGGCAGGGAGACCACCGCGGGCCCCGGGCTGGCCGCCTCCGCGGCGATCGGTCCGCGGCGCTTCGTCGGCGTCCAGGGGTTCTGGCGCACGCCCATCGATGAGCACGAGAAGAACTTTCTAGACAACGCGGACGCGGCGGGTCGCAAGGCAGTCGCGTGTCCGCTCTGCGAAGGCAAAGCGCAAGCTAACAAGGACGAGAACATTCCCAATTCTCACTCTTTTGAGGCTCTATCGAGACGACTTCTAGGTAGCGTCTCGAAATGAAATTGCCAACAAAATAAAATAAAATTGTTATTACTACTACTTCATAATGTTGGGTGTGTAAAAATGTTCTTTCTTTGAGTTCTTTATTACTTTCCACGAGTACGTAATGAGGTCTTATGTGTCTGAGAGAGATATTTCAACCGCATATTTTATTATCCGCATCATTTTATCTAGAGATTTGTCTCATCTACATGACTTCAAATAATATGGCATAGTAGTTAAGTACTAGCTCAGTTTGTATTTAAAGAAATGCATAAATAAAAATAAAATAAAATAATAAATTCAAGCAACTATCAGTCCGAACGTCAGTAACTAACTGTAGAAAATATTTCGTACATCAGACGAAATTAACAATTTTAAACCTAAAACACCGCTCAGAAGTACCTAAAGCAAAAGAAAACTCTAATATACTTTTACCAAATCAGTGCTGTACAACTTTTGACAAATACAAAATGAACACTAAACATACTCAACAGTACCAAATCAGCAACTGAATAAAACAAATTAAAGGAAACATTATTAAACGCTCAAAATTAAAAAATACGGCCTTCGGTACATAAAACTGGTTAAGCTAATGAGAATACATCAGCGTATGCAGTTCTTCAAACATGATAACACATTACAGCAATTTAAAGTTAAAAAATCAAGCTACTATTAATGTTAACGTGTGTATTCATATCAGAAAAACTGCATGGAACCTACATAAATTTTTGCAAATTTGGTTCAAATTAATAAACAGACCAGCATTATATGAATGATATTGTTGTAACATATTCTTCAAATGTTTGTTAAATATTAAAATAGATATAAAATGTCTTAAAAAACAGTTTGGTAAACATTTTAGTTACCTACCTAGATATTTTTCAAAATCTTTCATAAGTGGAAAATAAAATAATTTTAGGTGTCCTAATTTTTACACAATACCAAATAAGAATTTAGCTCTCTTGTTTGTTGCTGTAAATACTACGTGATAGGAATACAGATAAACACTTAAAAACCATATTCATGGAAATTTTATCATTTATGTTAAATTTTAGATGGGATGATTATAAATTGTAACAAAGAAGAGTAAATGTAAATAACTTTAACTCCCTTATTTACATTTACCCAAAGAAGCTCCCTTTTATCGCGTAACATTAAACACAATCTATAGATTTTAATCATTCCCGATCTAAATCTACTCTAATCATAACACTCGTTTTCCCGTTAATGGTCAAAGACGAGAGCATTACAAGACATTAACTAATACTGATCTTGAGGTATTAACCGTAAATGAATAAATTACCACTTATCATCTAGTGATGATGCAATAGACGAATTACTAGTAAACCTTTCTAATTGTTCACGTACGGATCTAGTGTGACTCATTGCCGATTTTAGCGCATTTGAAGACCTCATCGAAGATATCTGCCGCATCGACATCTTATAAAATAACTTGGAATCTCTCTGTCAAGAAAATATCAATCCCAATGCAATAGAAAACGATGTACAAAACTACAAAATAATGAATTATAATCAATCTCACAAGACATAAAGTTTACGTCATCGGATTCAGATGGACATACACTTTTTTTATCTTTAATATTTAGTTACCGGCCAGGGTTAGTAATTTTACAACTTTAAAACAACTAAAATAATGTTCATGTAAATTATGATTTCTTTTTCCCTATGGCTAATTAAATATGAAATGTAGATCATACGAAAAAAGAGGGTTTTCGATAACGTCATGACACTGGTAGATTCTTACAACGTTAACCTTGGTGACAGACTACCGACAAATGAAGAGTGACAGTGATAGACAATAAAACGCTCCTTTGTTTCACTTGGGAGGAGAGTACTTACCTAATAGAATAATCACACTAGGATACTAACAACAGACAACGTGTAAATTAAACTAGGGCGGCATTAAATGACATAGGTAACGGGCACTCAACATCTACGAGCGTTAATTTGGAAATTGCAAAATTTACAGAAAACAAGCCCATTTTTTTAAATCTTCATTTATATATAATTCATCTGTGCATGTGGGGATGTGACTGAACTCCTCCTAAACGGTTGGGCTGATTTTGATGGATTTTTTTGTGTGTGATTCGGTCCACTACAAAATATTAAAAAAATATATTATTTCGGATTTAAGATGTGTACTGGATAACGTCTTTCGGATCCGCTAGTGATGATATCATCTTTTTTTATGTATTATTTAAAATCTCATTCGCTTCTGTTGAATATTGATGCTCGAAAGCCGTCTATATAACAAACCGAAACGTTTTTTCTTTTATGCGGAAAGTTAAAAAGCAACCAACTTATTATTTAAACTTATATTAAGCATGTGGTTACTCTGTAGATAAGTGATTGCCGCCGCACATATCTACAACACCTGAGGGGTCACAGCGGCCCGCTGTCAGCGGGACCCAGTTACCTTTCTCACTAGACGAAACTAGCCCTCACAAATATAATATTCTTCTTCTTCACGCTGATCTTCTGTAAGGCTAAAGGCCGCAAAATACAAGGCCGAACGAGTCTGTCCGTTAGTGCAACAACGGAAGCTGTTGTGTGGTTCTACCACATTATGGCCCTACCACAGTCTTAAAAAAAGATGTAATCATATCATAATTTTAATAAAATCAATAGTTTGCCATTTTTGCAAAATTTCAGGAATTCACACAATCTTCTTAACTATGACAGATTGAGCAGTGATAGATAGTGTCCGGGCGTTCGCTTTTACTTAAAAAATATACTCGGGAGACTCGAGAACAATATACTCGAGAAACCTCACTTGAAATCCCGGTGTCGGCGCTAATGAAATAAATTTTAAGTACTAACTAATCACGTGCTCAGCGGTGAAGGAAAACTTGGTGTGAAAACCTGTATGTATTTGAAATAATGACAAAAATGTTTCAAAGATATAATGTGAAATTTGCCAATCCGCATGAGGATGGAGTGGTGGACTATGCCCTCATACCCTCTGTACAAAGGAGGCCTTCGCCCAGCAGTTTCAGGCTGTTACTTTACTTTTTTTTCTTAACTATGACAGAATTAACAAAATATTTATTTTCTTAACTATATGTTGTCCTTCGAAAAAAGCTGACAAAATAATACTTCCTATGATTATATTTGTCTAATTTAACAACATCACGAATACGTCACGTTATTTCGTCGAATGCCATTAGCCCATTACCGATGAATATCGATGGATTGGACAGATTTGAGAACAGTTTATTTAAACCTGTTCGTAAATTGAGCGCTTCGCAAATGGTAAACAGAAAGTAACCCGACCACGCCGGTAGTACGAATCGCCAAATGGCATAAATCTTTTGTAGCACCACTTCATATTTGGGCGGCTAATAGGTTTAGCGAGATATCCTTCGCCGAGATGGCGTCACCTCACTATTTTGGTCGCTGTCTACCTCACCGTTACTTCATACTTAACAACACGTTCAGGAACAAAAAATACTGTAATGGAATTACATCCCCATGAAGAATTACGTTCGCAATTGACTCAGTGTTATTGTCTGGTGCTAAATATCAAATCACATTGCTAGCCAAGGTTTATTTTAAGTTATATTTGGTCATACTAATCTTTTTTATCCATAGTTCTGATAAAACATTTGTTTATTTTGTTTTGACATTGCAATAGCCTTGGCTCGGATCTTATTTCAACTTGAAAAACTAACCAGAATCCAACATGTTTTTAAAGGCAGGAGATTTTTTTTCGTCAAAGGAAATTCTTATTTTCCTTATAAACGCCGCGCATAGGGAAATATCTGCAATTCACGTATCGATTTCCGCATTTTTACGGAAGTAGGCATTGAAGGTTATGTGTCATTAACAATATGGTAAGCCGTTGAAATGCTGCCTGCACGGGCTTTAGTCTTTACTGCAATTTTATTTCTGCAGTGTTATCAGAGTTACAACTTTCTTGGAATCTAGAAACGCTGGGGCGGGTCACGCGAATGTCAACCTCACGTTAACCACGTTTTCAAAGATATGACGTAATTCATAAATATGTATGACATTGGGCAACAAACCAATTTAGATTCTTTTTTTTATTAGAGAAATCTTTTTGTTATGTAACGATAAATATCACATAATAGGTATTAAATTAGTCATGTTTCCTTATGGATGCTTATAAAAATACAATCACAATAAATATCCGCTGTTATAAATGTGCGTATTTTCTTTTAATATAGAAAGGTGGAAAAGAGAAGATGGAGAAGATTAATGAATTTCTAACGCAAATGCATAAATCTGATATTCTTTAAATAATTTAGTCAATAAGTTAATTGTTAAAACGTTGTTTTCCCGTATTTCACAATTTCACCTTTAAGGCACACGATAATATAACGTTATTTGTTGTTGTTAGAGCCACGGTGACGTACACGGCCTCACAGAAGACCTGTGCCTATGGTGTTAAAGATATCTATGGCCGGCAGTATTCCCTTAATATAAGGTCAACAAGTTATCACAAAAAATGGCTATAAAAAGAGCAGAGTGAACTTAAGAAACAACCTCAATGACAAAAAAGTAATTTAATAAAAAGATTAAGTAAATTAAAAAAGTCATAAGACATAGGACCCTCTCGCCAACAGTATGTTTATTATTTGTCTTATGAAAAAATCAATGGCAAATAATACAGTTATATAATCTGTTATGCTCATAACAATAATATTTTATTTTTGAAACGAAATTAATAGTCAGCCTCAAACTGGTTAGACAAGCTGCCTACTCACAACATGACAGCCATACAACGCCTACATCTGACTTCACACGTGACGGAAACAAATTCGATTTATTGCTAATATCTCATTGTTTGAATAATGTTCCTCGTAAATTGTGGGTCACACCATTATTCGAAACCTTTTAATGAGCTTTTACATTAAAATGACTATTTGCTGTAAGTGGGAGAAAAGACATGACACATTCTATGTCGTTTCCGATCTCGTCTCAGACGGTATGTAAACTCACGACCAACCAGTGAGGTGAACAGAGATTTCAAG